GCTGGAACGAGCACGGCTCCAACCGCTACTCGAGCGACCTGGCCGACCCGGACGCCATGGAGATGCGTAGGCAGCGCAGCAAGGACGGCCGCACCGGCCGAGCGGCGGCCGACACGGCCCTCTCGTCGAAGCAGAGCTCGCCCAGCCTCGATGGCCGGCTCCCCCCCGTGGCGGCGGCGGCGGCGGCGGCAAGCAGCCCGTGGGTGCCGCAGACGCCCGAAAGCCCGTACCCGACGGCGTGGAACAGCTTTATGCACGGCGAGACGGCCTTTGAGCCGGTCACGGTGCCGCCGTCGTCGCTCAGCCCGCCCAGCCGGTACCGCAGCCCGGTGCAGGCGGGCCACCAGGACGACGCGCCGTGGCGGGCGCTCTGAGCGGCGTCGTTGCTCGGACTCGATACCCCTCCTTCCCTCTACTGTGCGACTGTTGTATTACTATCCCTCCTTGCCCCTCCTCTCTCTCTCTCTCTCGCGCGCGATCCCTCTCTCTTAGACTCTGCTCGATCCCGCCTTGCTCTGCCCTGCACTGCCCGGGTATGCTCGTTGCTCGCTGTCGTCACCTGGCCCACTCGCTAATGGTCCCGCCCGCTCCTCGAGATGGGCGGCAATAGAAAAGGATCACCTCCTCGTCATGGATCGCGCCGGCCTCTGTGTGTGCGCAGGTGTTGCCGTGTTGGTGGCTGGCATTGACGCAGCGGATCGGGCCAAAGGGGCTCGGGATCGACCGCCCGCCCGCCCGCCCGCCGACGCCGATGGAGCGACGGCGGGGCACGGAAGATTCCGTACCGCGGAGACATCCGGCGACGGACGGCGTTGCCAGCCTGCTCGTGTGTGCTCCACCGACCGACCCAGCCTGCCCGCTGCGTTCGTCAAGCAGCGCAGGCAGAGCCTCGATCGGTTGTCCGCTGCGTCCGAGGGGTCGTAGGGCGTGAAAGCCGATCGCGATTCCGTACCGTAGCCGGTCACGCCTGCCGTGGCCCTCGTTTGACCCTGCTTTCCTAGCCCTTCCGAAAGGGGAGAACCGGGACCGGCCCTTCCCCGCACACCGTACCCTCCTGGCGTTGCTGCACGCCATGATCCGTCCAGAACCTGCATGAGCCCGGCCGGGCCAGGACCAGGACCAGGACCAGGACCAGGACCAGGACTCAGGAGGCTACGGGACAGGATGGTGGAGACGTGTTAGGTCGACGCTGAGCTCTGGTCGATGACGCTCCCTCAAGGCAGGCCGCATTAACCTGGCCCGGGATGGCTTCCCTCCGCTTCGGATCTTCTCGTGCGAGGCTCCGTGTCCCGTCCCCCCTCCATCTCGGCCCCGCATTCTCTGTCTGCCCTGTACGACGCTGGGCGGCGCCTATCGATGAGACAGTCCAGCGAGCAGGCTAGACGAGCTAGAGGTGATCGACCGGCGGAACTTTGTTTTTGGGGCACGCCGCACAGATCTCGCCGCCGATAACCCTGCGCTGCGCTGGGAGGGCCCAGGCTTGACTCGGGCCTGACTCGCGGCGCACGGAAGATCAAGGAAAAAAGCAAGCGCGGAGCAGCAGGTTGCACAGGCTAGGGCCTTGACCCGACGCAGCCTGGGCCAGGCCAGGCCAGGCAAACGCCCGACAAGATGCCTTAGCCCTACGCATGCCCCCGCGCACGGATGCACACGACGACAGGCCCGAGCGAAAAGCGAGCGCTCCACCCAAAACGCCCGCCGCTCCATCCCATCATCGAGACGCTGGCACCGTGGGCCATCGATGAAGGGGCGGGCGTGGGCCTTTCGCAGCGCAGAGTCACAGGTCCGTGGCAGGGTGCGTGCGCAAGAAAAAACCCTCTCAGGGTGTATATCAACACGGGCCCAGGGCTGGGCAGACCCTCGCCGTTCCCCTCTCTTCCCTCCATCCATCTCACCCACACCCACCCATCCTCACACCCCCTCCTCCAAATCTTTGGACACCGCTGCTCACCATGTCTACCGTTCAGAAGGTGCACGCCCGCATGATCATCGACTCGCGTGGTAACCCCACGGTCGAGGTCGATGTGACGACGGCCAAGGGCCTCTTCCGCGCCGCCGTCCCCTCGGGCGCCTCGACGGGCATCCACGAGGCCGTCGAGCTGCGCGACGGCGACAAGGCCAACTGGGTCGGCAAGGGCGTCCAGAAGGCCATTGACAACGTCAACAACGTCATCGGCCCGGAGCTCATCAAGGCCGCCATCGCCGTCACCAGCCAGAAGGAGGTCGACGACTTCCTCATCAAGCTCGACGGCTCCCCCAACAAGGGCAAGCTCGGCGCCAACGCCATCCTCGGCGTCTCGACCGCCATCGCCAAGGCCGGCGCCGGCGAAAAGGGCCTCCCCCTCTACGCCTACCTCGCCGAGCTCGCCGGAACCAAGAAGCCCTACGTCCTCCCCGCCCCCGCCATGAACGTCATCAACGGCGGCTCCCACGCCGGCAACGCCCTCGCCTTCCAGGAGTTCATGATTGTCCCCACCGGCGCCAAGTCGTTTACCGAGTCGATCAAGATCGGCACCGAGGTCTACCACACTCTCAAGAAGGTCATCCAGGCCAAGTACGGCATCGACGGTGAGTGCGCGGCTGCTGGGAGGCACGTGGGGATCTGACGATGCCATGCGAGGTGTAGCACGACAGCTCGCTCGCGGACACGGGCGCTGACTTCGACACTCGCTCGCCCTGCTCTCATGAACCTGGCTCCGCGCCGCTTCCCTTTGCTCCTGTCCAACCCGCCTCGCGCCGCTTCCCTTTGCTCCTGTCCGCCTCGCCTCGTTTCGCCTCGCTTCGCTCCGCTGCGCTCCTGTCCGCCTCGCTCCGCCTCGCTGCGCTCGGCTGCGCCAGCCACCAACGTCGGTGACGAGGGCGGCTTCGCCCCCAACGTCGGCTCGGCCGACGAGGCCCTCGAGATCCTCAGCGAGGCCATCAGCAAGGCCGGCTACGAGGGCAAGGTGCACATCTCGCTCGACGTCGCCTCGTCCGAGTTCTACAAGGAGGGCAAGTACGACCTCGACTTCAAGAACCCCAACTCGGACCCCTCCAAGTGGCTCTCGGGCAAGGAGCTCGCCGACGTCTACCTCGGCTTCATCAAGCAGTACCCCATTGCGTCGATCGAGGACCCCTTTGACCAGGACGACTGGGAGGCCTGGTCCCACCTCCGCGCCAACGCCGGCGTCACCATCATTGGCGACGACCTCACCGTCACCAACCCGCTCCGCATCAAGACGGCCATCGAGAAGAAGGCCTGCAACGGCCTCCTCCTCAAGATCAACCAGATCGGCACCATCTCCGAGTCGATCCAGGCCGCCCAGCTCTCCCAGTCCGACAACTGGGCCGTCATGGTCTCCCACCGCTCCGGAGAGACCGAGGACACCTCCATCGCAGACCTCGTCGTCGGCCTCCGCACCGGAATCATCAAGACCGGCGCCCCCTGCCGGTGAGTACCAGCTGCCTGTCCCCCGCGTCGGCCACCCTCCACCCTCTCGCACGTCAGCCTTGGCCCTGCACCACCCCTCCCCGGCCCCCGACCCTTGTCCACCGTCCCGCCCCGCCGCGCACACGTTACTGACACGCTCCCCCTTGCCCTTCTGAACGCTTTTTCGGGCTCAAAAATCGCATTTTCGCAGAGCGGAACGTACCTGCAAGCTCAATGAGCTCCTCAGGATTGAGGAGGCCGAGCCGAACGCCGTCTACGCCGCACTCGACGGTTTCACGCAGGGCGACGCCGCGCCCAAGGTGCTCCAGTAGAAACACTCCAGCACAACGTAGCTAGCGAATTCGATGCGCGCTTTTGACTTGCTTCTTCGTGTCTGTGCTTGTCCCTCTGCTTGTGCCTGTACCTACCTGTGCCTGTGCCTGTGCCTGTCGAGTCTCGCTGTCAGCCTGCCCTCGGCCTGGTGAGGACTTTTACTCGCTGCGGGCGACCGACCGCTGCTGCAATCGACGGTGCTCGAAAGCTGCGGGTTGATGAACAAGCAGCGACTTTGTGTGTGAATGCTCGAGGCCTCAAGATTGAGTCTGTGTCAGTCTGTCCGACTGCTCTTTCAAGGCTGCAGGATGGAGCGGATGAAGTGATGCACACAAGAAGTAGAGGGAGCAGCGCAGCAGATCAATGAAGCAGTAGTCTTGTTGCAGATGAAGCATGCTGATGTCTGAGGCTGTGTCATGCCTGTGTCTCCCACAACCACTGTGCAGAGTGCAGTCAAGGCAGCAGTGCATCACCAGGCTTGGGTAGAGCAAGGGTAACTCAGAGAGGCAAGCTAGAGACAGGCTGGAGTGCCAGAAACTGTCCAGATGACTGGCTGTGTTCTTGCAACAGCATACCATCACCTTGATGAGGTTGATGCAGACACATTGCTACATGTGTCAGCTGCTCATGACTGTTGCACAGACCACCCCTTGTACACAAAGGACATGCCTTGGAGCAGCTCTTACAATGTCTTGGTGCTTGGTCTTTTTGTAGATGTCTTGGAGCCAGCACCTCTCCTCCCGCCTCTGCTTTTCCTTCTTGGTCTTGAGGCTTTGGAATTTGATTACGAGTCCTTCGATCTGGCTTGCAAGTTGATCCTTCCCCTGCCAATGCAGGTCTTGTGCATGGCTGACCGCCGGCTTGATTCTTTTGCAGCCGCACATTGTGCACTTGACCAGGACCAGCTGGTTGAGCTGGTCCACAATCTCCTTCATGTTGTCAACAAGGTGCTGGACATGGTTGTCGGCTTGCCGGTCCACCTCTGCCATCTTGGGGTTCTCCCACCTCTTGTTCCGGCCTCCGGTCTTGGTGGCATCGTCGCGGGCCCGCTTTGCCGCCATCCTGACAAGGGCGCTGACCACAAGGCCTGCATAGTGCCAGAACCTTGCATTGGACTTTGGGATGAGGCTGTTGGCATGGGAGCTCTTGCTGTAAGAACTGGTCAAGATGGGCAGCTTGCAAGTAGTGCTGAGGTAACATTGCTTGCTCATGTTCACTGCAGAATGCACATGGTTGAGGACTATGGTTGCTGTGCAAGAGCTGAAACGTGCTGCCAAGTTCATCTGCCATGTTGTGCTGGAAAAAAACAGCTGACACCAGCCCAATATCCTTGTCATAGACAAACAGCCCCTGCATCAGCACAGAGGCACTCTCTTGATGATGTTGTCATGATGACGTTGATGATGTTGTCTTCATGATGAACAAGGAAAGACGCGCCAATGTGTCCGGTGGCTACGAAAATCCCATAAATTTCCAGACATTACTTATTTCTATAAGATTCATCGTCTTACATCATCTGACACTTTGGCCGAGTGGTCAAGGCGTATCCCTGCTAAGGATATCTGAGAAATCAGGCGTGAGTTCGAATCTCACAGGTGTCGCAGCACCTCTAATCATTTAGCACGCCTCGTACGAGGCGGACGATTCTTTTTCTCTTTTTTCCCGCGATTTCAGTGAGACTTTTGCGATTTTTCGAGGGCGACGGGGGGGCGACGACGTGCGAGCGCGCCCTGAATGTGGCGGACGATCCCTTCTCGCCATTGTGAGGACGTCGAGGGGAGGGTGGTGGCGTTGGACTTCGGCCTGGCCATCGGTCGCCAGGTGTTTTCCTTATTGATTTATTTTTTTTTAGTTGCAAGCGCGGCGCCGTCTGAGGAGCAGCTTTTGCGGATGCGGAGAGCATGCACGGTCGAGGGAGGAGCTTGGTGGTACGAGAGTGGTCAGTGTGAGTGGACGGGCCAGGCACTGCCGTGGACGGAGCCGCGCGACTGTTATTTCCAGCGGCATCGCGCAGTGAAAAACGCGTCGACGCCTTCGAGGTGGTGGTTTGGGGACGAGGTCAGCTTCAGCGGAAAGTGCGGGGGAAGCCCATCGAGGCCTCGTCAGAGTGCAACACGGTCGACGCGGCGCGAGCGAGGCCTGCAGGTCGGTGGCCACTCGATCTCCTGCGGCTCAGCTGAGCGCCGACGGCCTCCGTGCGCCCGAGGGCTCGTTTGATCACTTCAACGCCGTACGCCCACGCTGCACCCCCGCGAACCTGCCAACTGGAGGATAACACTGCTGCCCACTCGGCCACAACAACCTTGCTCGCCTCGACGCAGCGATCTACGACCGCACCTGGATCGACCACAGACGGGGCTGCCCCCGACGACGACGATGACGTAGACGACGACCGGAGCAACGAAGAGGACACGGGAACGCATGCATTGCACGAAAGACAAGGGAGGCCGAGGGGGGGGATGCGCGCGGCGGCGGCGGCGGATCGGGTGAACCCACAGCACGCTGCGCACAGGGCGCCTCTGCCTGCTTACTTCTGGGCGGCGATGCGGGCCTGGAGGCGGAGGTTGTCCTCGAGGGGGCCCTTGGGGGCGACGTACTGGAGGTAGCAGCCGTCCTTGAGGATGCGGTTCTGGTCCTTGGCGGTCTGGTACTGCTCGCGGTTCATGTTGGTGAAGCCCCACTTCTTGGAGATGATGATCTTCTGGCGACCGGCGAACTTGTATCGCGATCGTCGGAGCGCCTCGAGGACGACGGCCTTGTTCGAGTCACGGGTGCGGACCGAGAGGAGGATCTGGCCAATGTCGACGCGGGCGACGGTGTCGTAGGGCTTGCCGTAGGCACCGCGCATGCCGGTCTGGAGCCTATCGGCACCGGCGCACGAAAGCATCTTGTTGATGCGGATGACGTGGTGCGGGTGGACGCGGACGCGCAGGTGGAACGAGTCCTTGCCCGACGTCTTGGTGATGTACTTGTTGGCACAGATACGGGCGGCCTCTAGCGCCTCCGAGGTAATCTGCTGGTGCTCATCGCAGACCAGGTGGGCGCAGAAGGGGAAGTCGTCGACCGAGGCCTTCTTGCGTCCCAGGTCGAAGATGCGGATCTGCGGGGTCGGATCGCGTCGGGCGGGCGAGCGAGCGAGGTGGCGGCGGTGGCGATACAGGCGGTCAGCACGCGGTCGCGGCCAGGCATGGCGAGAAGTCTCCGTATGCTCCCCGGGCCCGTCCCTCGCGGCGATGCCCTCGCTGCCGCAAGGCGCCCATTCCTCCCCAGGTGCTACCGGAGATAGGCCCGGAACATCGCTCCTCGACCAGCCTCAACAACCACGACGACACTGGATGTCCAACGCGATCGTCATGAGAACGGGCGGCCGTCCAGCAACGATGCGCATCTCCGGTCCACCTGCGCTCCATCCTCCGACTTCTGCCCCGCCCTGTCTTCTGCCCGCCCTGTCTTCCACTTCTGTCGAAAGGCCAGCTTGTCCTTCCACCATTGCCACTGGCCAATCTGTCATCATACGCCTCTGCCTGAACGCACCTTCGGGTCGGGGACACCACGGTTGTACCTCGACTTGGGGAACGGCTTGTTCTTGCAGTAGCGGTAGCAGCGAGCCGGGCGACGTCCCATTTTGAATAACTAAAGGCGAGAGATGGCAGGTGTAGGGTTGGGCGGATGAGGTGGTAGTCGGAGGTGAAGAGCAAAAGTGGCGACAGGGAGTGGTGGTTTAAGATCAGGCAAGGGCCGACGAGAGGGAGTCAGCGGACTGAGCTTTCGATTTCCTGCAAGGAGAGAGGCTGGCTGGCTGGCTGTTCCGCTGATTGTCGATATCTCCGGCCGTGCGGTGACTCGTGGCGTGGCAGGTGACTCGGGAAGTGGCTGGACAAATGGAGATTCGCTCGACGCTGGTGGCGCAGTCGCAGTCGGTATCGCCGTGGACGGTCGTCGATGGATGGTGCTGATGCCGATGCCGATGTCGATGCTGCTGCCACTTCGCTCCACGGGCCGACGAGGCAACACTTACCTTTTCTTGAGGGTGACAAGGGGGGGATGGTGGGTGGTAGCAGGTGTGACCAGCAGGCGGGAACGACGAGCTCGGCCTGGCTGTGGCGCCCGAGGCTGCTCACCGCCGCCTGCGTCCTGCGCGCCCAGCAGCCGGGCCGCTCTCGCTGCCCAGGCTCGACGCCGCCAGCGTTGGCTGTCCTTGCCGTGCCTGGTTCGATCTGGCGGCCCGCTTCCGACTGAGCAGCCTCGGCCTTAACTCCGGCGTTGCCTGGCCAGCGTGGCCTGGATCACGTGCGTGGTCCCATCCCTCGGCCGAAATTTTCTCAGGCTCCACCCTCGCCGTCGCCCCGGTCCCGCGATTTTCGAAATTCGATCCAGCTCCGCCAGGCTGGCCAAGGGTATCGAGGCTGGCCCAAGGGAGCGGCGCCCCCGCCCGCCAGCAAAGGCCAGCCAGCCCATCTCGCCCGCCCGCCAGCCAGATGAGGCCGAGGCGAGGCAGGCTGGGCGGGCGGGGCCGCGCCAAGGCGAGCACGCCTAGTCGATCCCGCTCCTCCTACCTTCTCACCAGGTACCCTCACCCACAGAACAACATACCGTCAAGGTTAGTAATGCTGCCGACGACGCTACGACCCCTCGCCGACATCGACGAAACGACGGTCGCCATCGCCCGCTCGCCACCGCTCGCCAACTGCTGTTCAATTATCGCCGCTCGGTGTCCCGCAGTCCCTCGGTCTCTCTCGGACCGCCCGTGCCGCCGCCGAATGCTGGACGACCAGCTCTTCGAAAATGCATCGGACGAGATGCGACACACGACGTACGGCTCAGGTCTCGAGCCACAAGGCTGCGTCTGAACCTCCGGGATCCACGACTCTAGAACCTCGAAAGGATCCGAACCGCCGCGACCAGAGAGACCAAGGGATTAGCGCAACCATACGAGCACGGCGCTGATTTGGCGCAGCGGCAGCTGCTCGAAGCGGAGCGGCCGAGAGAGGAGGTCGTTTGCCCGGGAATGAAACCGCTGACTTCGTTTGCTTTTGTGAACTTTTCCCTCCTTCGACCCTACTACCCTCGACTGCCACGCCTTCTTTGCGACTTCCTTCTTCCATCCGCGTGTGATCTTTTCGCCCTCGAACTTCCCGCTCCTCCGACGCCTCTGTCCTTGTACTCGCCACACTCTGTGATCGCACAGATGCCGACCCACCTCAGCAAGACCAGGAAGCACCGTGGCCACGTCTCGGCCGGTCACGGTCGTGTCGGAAAGCATCGCAAGCATCCCGGAGGTCGTGGTCTCGCCGGTGGTCAGCACCACCACCGCACCAACATGGACAAGTACCACCCCGGTTAGTGTCCAGAGCGGGTGACCTGGTTCGAGATCCGAAGGAATGAAAGGCGCGGCGAGCGATGGGACGTACGGCGGGCGAAAAGAGGAGGACAACGGCCAGGACGGCGATTGAATCGGCCGTCCCATGCGGGCACGATGGATCGGCCGGCGATATCACTTCCGAGCTACGGTGTCTGCCGACGCTGTCACCGCCTTTGCCCGGACTGCGCCGGCTTGGCATGCTGAGGAGGCAACGAGGTGGCAGATGGGACTCTCCCCTCGTGGCTGGAGTGGCTGCACCCCGGCGGAGGGACAGCGGCTGAACTGCCCGAGAGCTCGCCCGTCGACGGCATGGGACGGCGTGTCTCGACTCTAGGCAGTCAGGGATGCCGGACGAGCACAGAATGACGGCCGCCAAACCGTGCCCTCTCGTGAGCCGCATCACTGACCCACCCTGGCATTCGCCACTTCTTTCAACCCACAGGTTACTTCGGTAAGGTCGGTATGCGCCGCTTCCACCTCACCCGCAACATGCAGTGGAAGCCCGTCCTCAACCTCGACAAGCTCTGGACGCTCGTCCCCGCCGAGCAGCGCAAGGGCCTGACCGCCGAGAGCACCGAGGTCCCCGTCATTGACACGCTCGCCGCCGGCTACGCCAAGGTCCTCGGCAAGGGCCGCCTCCCCGCCCTTCCCTGCATCGTCAAGGCGCGATGGGTCTCGGAGCGCGCCGAGCAGAAGATCAAGAAGGCCGGTGGTGTCGTCAAGCTCGTCGCGTAAAAAGGAGGACCGGCACTACCGTCCTCTTCCATCCTCGTCTCCTGCTTGTCCCTCACACCCGTTTCCTTGTACTATGACCAGCACGCCCCGCTGCGCACACGCACTCTAGGCACACACACACACACACACTACGCTGCGCTTCCTTGCTTCCCGTCTTGAGAGCACACACGCTACCGGCACTCGCGCGCGTACGTACTGCCGGGCTTGGCGGGGCGGGTTGGGCCCCTCCTTGTCCCCTCGCCCTCCCAAGCCGACCCCCAAAAATAACAACACGCACACGCACACACATTCACGCTGAGCGCGAACGACCGAGTGCGACCCGACTGAGCGTGTGACGAACAGAGAGACAGAAGGCGGCGATGGCGCACGTAGATCACTACTACTTTGTCCCGTTCCGTCGTGAGGCCATCTGAGCCACCACCCCTGACAGCCTCTAGTCTTGGCTTTGCAGCTAAAGGCACCGTCTAACTATGTACCTGCACCTCCCAGCGCCGTCAAAACACTTTCCAGCACCGAATTCGGCTGCAATAAAAGCTAGGGTAGAACCCTCTCCCGGAATGGCAAAAGGTGAAATCTGGACGGTCCGCCATCTCAGGCGTGCTACCGGAAAGTGTTCGACACCTGTGAGATTCGAACTCACGCCCGCGGAAACGGATATCCTGTCTCGTACGGTAGCAGGGATACGCCTTGACCACTCGGCCAAAGTGTCCGATGATGTCACCGAGGGCGAAAGTTGCTTGTATAGCTACCGGCGAAGCGCTGGCGGCTGATTAGAAATGCGGCGGTATCGAGATGGGCGCTGCTTGACATCGGGCCCAGGGTCCGGAGATCGGGCTCGGACCTCAATTTTTTCTTCCAGGCAGACGGGCGCGGGGCCAGGGCAGGGTCGACGGGCCTGCCAGACGAGGACGGCCTGGCTGGCGGGCTGACTGGCAGGCTGGCAACGCGGGCGCGCTGAGCTCGCCGCTTGCTGGTTGGGTCGAGGGGCCATTTGACGAGGCTGACATCGCCACCGACACCTTGACTTCCGTCTTCCATCACCCTAAACATCGCCGCCTCGACCCCCAACCCTTCCGCTCGTTGCTCTTCAGTGTCGCAACCGTCGACGCCGCCGCCACCTGCCGCCACTCCGCTCGTCGTTGCGGATCTCGCCGGCCCTCGCCTGACCGCCACTTAGCCAGGCCTTCCAGTCAGCCAGGAACCTCGCCCGACCGCCCTCGCACCTCCCGGAGTCGCCGCACCTGGATCTGCCTTCAGCCTTACGATCCCTTTCCGCCCCTTCACCCCCCGCACACATCCGCCCATCATGCCGGCGAACCCGAACGCGCAGCAGAAGGAGACCCGTATTGCCATTGGTAAGTGCGACTTGCCGACGCCGCCGGCGCCAACACTGGCAGCTCGCCGCACGCCCTGGTCTCGCCTCGCTCGAGACCCCATCAAACACCCGCGCTGACCGATGCTCCCTGCTGCCCTGACCTCCGCCCCGCCACAGTCAACTCGGACAAGTGCAAGCCGAAAAAGTGCCGGCAGGAATGCAAGAAGTCGTGCCCCGTGGTGCGCATGGGGCGGCTGTGTATCGAGGTGACGCCGACGAGCAAGATTGCCTTCATCTCCGAGTCGCTCTGCATTGGCTGCGGTATCTGCCCCAAGAAGTGCCCCTTTGAGGCGATCAACATCATCAAGCTGCCGACCAACCTCGAGGCCGAGACGACGCACCGGTACAGCGCCAACAGCTTCAAGCTGCACCGCCTTCCCGTGCCGCGCGCGGGCCAGGTGCTGGGACTGGTGGGGACCAACGGTATCGGCAAGTCGACGGCGCTCAAGATCCTGGCAGGCAAGCAGAAGCCCAACCTGGGCCGCTACGACGACCCGCCCGACTGGCAGGAGATCCTCAAGTACTTCCGCGGCAACGAGCTGCAGAACTTCTTCACCAAGGTGCTCGAGGACAACATCAAGGCGCTGATCAAGCCGCAGTACGTCGACCACATCCCGCGCGCCATCAAGGGCAAGGCGACGGTCAACGAGCTGCTCGAGGGCAAGCTGGAGCGCACCAACAAGGACGAGATCGTCGACGTCCTCGACCTCAAGGAGGTCCTCGACCGCGACGTCCAGAACCTCTCGGGTGGAGAGCTGCAGCGCTTCGCCATCGGCATGTCGTGCATCCAGAAGGCCAACATGTACATGTTTGACGAGCCGTCGTCGTACCTCGACGTCAAGCAGCGTCTCAACGCGGCCAAGATTATCCGCTCGCTGCTCGACTCGGACACGTACGTCATCTGCGTCGAGCACGACCTGTCGGTGCTCGACTACCTCTCCGACTTTATCTGCTGCCTCTACGGCGTCCCCTCGGTCTACGGCGTCGTCACCGTCCCCTCGCCCGTGCGCGACGGCATCAACATCTTCCTCGACGGCTTCATCCCCGCCGAAAACATGCGGTTCCGCCAGGATTCGCTCACCTTCAAGATCTCGGAGACGGCCGAGGAGGAGGTCAAGGAGCGCACGCCAAAGTACACGTGCCCGCCCATGACCAAGACGCTGGGCGGCTTCCACCTCACCATCGAGGGCGGCGAGTTTTCCGACTCGGAGATCATCGTCTTCCTCGGCGAGAACGGCACGGGCAAGACGACGTTTGTCAAGATGCTCGCCGGCAAGCTCGAGCCCGACGCGGGCGCCGAGAAGCCGCCGCAGCTCAACGTGTCGCTCAAGCCGCAGACGATCGCGCCCAAGTTTACCGGCACGGTGCGGATGCTGCTGCTCAAGCAGATCAAGGCCGCCTTTATGCACCCGCAGTTCCAGACCGACGTCGTCAAGCCCATGAGTCTCGACAACATCATCGACCAGGAGGTCCAGACGCTGTCGGGCGGAGAGCTGCAGCGTGTCGCCCTGGTCCTGGCGCTCGGCAAGCCCGCCGACATCTACCTGATCGACGAGCCATCGGCGTACCTCGACTCGGAGCAGCGTATCATTGCGTCGCGCGTCATCAAGCGCTTCATTATCCACTCCAAGAAGACGGCCATGATCATCGAGCACGACATCATCATGGCCACCTACCTAGCCGACAAGGTCATTGTCTACGAGGGACAGCCCTCGGTCAAGGCGACGGCCAAGCGCCCCGAGTCGCTCCTCACCGGCATGAACTCGTTCCTGGCCACGCTCGAGGTGTCGATGCGCCGCGACCCGACCAACTACCGCCCGCGCGTCAACAAGCTCAACTCGATCAAGGACAAGGAGCAGAAGGCCGAGGGCAACTACTTCTTCCTCGAGGACTAGGACTGTCGCCCCAGCCTTTGCTCCTGCATCCTCCACCGCAACATACTCCTGTCTCTAGGGATCCGGCGTCGTTGTCGTCGCTGTCGTCGTCGTCCTACGACGTGCACGTCCGTCGCTCCCTCGGCTCTGCCCGCCCGCCTGCCTTTCAGGCATCATGCACACGCGCGCGCAGCCTAAGCCCCTCGTCGTCCATGCATGCCATTCCTCCCTACCCGTTGTACATTTGCACTCTAGCACACGTCCGCTATGCCATTGAAAACCCCTCCAAAAGGCGTCCGTCGCGACGTCGTTCCAGGCACCCTGCCCGATTTGCAATGACTGTCCCTCGCTCTCTTGTGTGGCTGAGCCCGCCTTCGACTGGCCAGGCCAGGCCAGGCCTGGCTCTAATTGCCACTAGGAAAGATTTCAAGGCCGGTCGAGCTCTCAATTTGTATTGGCCATCTACGGGGATCGGCCCCTCCACACGGCTGCGGTTTGGCCAGGCCAGGCCAGGCCAGGAAGCCAAGGCCGCCAGCAGCGGGCGGCAACCTCATGCCTGTTTCTTGCCTCTTGCCCCACTTGTCACCGCCACCACCACCACCATCATCTCCGCCGCATCGCCCCGCGCCACCAATCGAAGACTTGACACAACCTCATCGACGACTGACTCCTCTCTTCGAGTCCATTGTCTGGATTGGATGAGCGCCAGGATGAAGGCCATCAAGGGTGAGTGCGCTCGCGAGCGTCCCTGACCAAGTACAGCCTACCCCTCCGTCGCGTTCAGGTCGAGAGATGGCCCAGGGAGCCCAGACAACGACAATGAGAAGCGGACTGATCAAACGCCCTTTCTTCTCCTGTCCATCCCTTCACTTCGGCTCTACCATACCGTCTTGACGAAACGATCCAGGTATGCTCCTAACCTGGTACGTCCCGCCGACACCACACCTTACGGTCAAATCGTACCCTCCCAGGCCATTCTTACTAACCCTCAAATCCCCCTCCCCAACGACAACGACGACAACAACGGCACCGCAGTGATCCAGCAGCGAAACAGCTGCTGCTCACGCTCGACGAGCGGATGCGCTTCATCATCATGGATCTCGACGAGACGCACCTCCTCGTCTCGCCCGACAAGGTCGAGTGGATGCGCACCGAACTCGAATCAGAGGTACGCACGCTCCTGCCCCTCCTCCTCGTCCTCGGCACCTGTCGTCGTGACCGTCGTCGTCCGACTTCTCCCACCCCTCTGGTCTTTTGTACACCGCTCATCGCCTCTGTCTCTATTGTCTTTCCGCCTTCCACACCCTTCTACAACCGTCCCTCGCAGCTCGAGAAGAACACCTACACCCTCGAAGGCTAGGCAGCCCGTCGCTGCGGACCTCGTTTCGCTTCGCCCCTTCCCGTCATAGATACCCTCGTCTTCTCTCGTCACACCCTCGAAAAGCGGCGCACACGCACACAGCACAGCACAGCACAGCCACACATCCGTCGCGGTTGATCTTCAACGAGAGCAGATTTGGGGGGAGCTGCGGTGGGCGCGCGCGAGAGAAAAGAAAGACGAGGGACACGCAGAGGACGGACCAAGTCACCGCCGCGCCGTGGCATGGCAGGCTCGCCGATCCGATCCTCTTCTGTGCCACCGTCTCTGCCCCTCTTCTCCCGCGCTCCCCGTCTCGCTGCTGGCCCCTTTCCTCGCCTCTTCTTTTGCATCCTCGGGCAGACACCGGTCGAATTCCCACCAGAGACGAGCCGCCGAGGTCGGAAGGAAAGAAAGGTGAGAGGTATGGGCCACCGACGGAGCGAGCGAGTGGCCGCCCGCCTCGTCAGCCCCGTCGAAGATCGTTGTGGTGGCGGCAGCGTCCGAGGAGGCTGCGGGCGCATGGCAGACCTGCGTGCGCGGACAGGGCGAAGTTGCAAGTGGTGGCGCCGTCGGAAGGGAGGCGAGCTGCCGTGCGCAACTTTGCTGCCGCGTCTGCCACGCCCGCCGATTGTTCCACCCTTCGACCTCGTCGCATCATTGCCGGCGGTCCGCGGCCAGGCCGACGACTCTGCCGCCCGCCGCACGCCGCGCTACGCCGCCTGGACATGGCCGCCTCCACCGTGCCCTCCGCCT